GGTTTATTACTGGATTTATTCTTATTTCACTTTATTATCGCTTTGTGATAAGGTCCCAATACAGGTGTATGGGTGGTAGTGTGCCACCTTTTGTCCATTCACACTATACAACTATAGCTTTTTTATTCCGCTGTCATAATTCTATGCCTTAGTTCTGAGGAATCTTGGGATTTGTAGTTGGAGAGGCCCTAGAAGAGCGCTCGGCTGCGAATTCTAAATACCCCTCCCTCAACTGTCCATCCTAGGGTTGCATAGGATGGGGTCATGGTAGTTAAAGTGGAATTGTAGTACAATATATATAATTCTGTAGTGTGAATGGACCTCTGTGCCAGTTATACCCCTCCTGCCATCTATTGTTGTTGTTGTTGTGTGTCTTCAAGTTGTTTCCAACTTAATGGAGAAATGAAGGCAACCCCATCACAGGGTCTTCTCGGCAAGATTTGTTCAAAGGTTTGCCATTGCGTTCCTCTGAGGCTGAGAAACTGGGACTTGGCCAAAGGCATATAGTGGGTTTCTGTGGCTGAACAGGGATTCAGACTCTGGTCTCCAGAGTTGTAGTCCAACACTAAAACCACCACTAGTGCTGGCTCTCTCTCTTCTTCTTCTTGTTGTGTACCTTCAAGTCATTTCCGTCTTATAGCAACCCTAAGGCTACCCTTATCATGGGGTTTTCTTCACAACATTTGTTCGGGAGGGGGGTTGCCGTGGCCATCCTCAGGCTGAGAGAGTGTGACTTAGCCAGGTTACCCAGTGGGTTTACATGGCCGAGCAGGGAGTCGAAGCCTGGTCTCCATAGTCCTAGTCGAATGCTCAAACCACTACACCACGCTGGCTCTAAGTCTCCCTCCTCTACCCCAAAGGTGTCTGCCTTGTTCCAGATCTGACCTTCCCTGCCTCCCTTCCTTTCTGCCCAGGTGATCAATGCCATTGAGCAAGACTACCGCCTGCCACCCCCCACGGACTGCCCCACATCCCTCCACCAACTGATGCTGGACTGCTGGCAGAAGGACCGAAACTCCCGGCCCCGATTCGCCCAGATCGTCAACTCCTTGGACAAGCTCATCCGCAACCCCGCCAGCCTCAAGATCGTCTCCCGGGGAAATGGAGGGTGCGTTGGTCCCTGTCCTCCCCACATCCCTTCTGTTGCCCCCAAGGTCTAGAGCCCTTTTATGCTACGCTATGTTTCCACTTTACCTGCCATGGCTGCATCCTGTGGGATCCCATGGCTTGTAGTTTTGGGGAGGCACTAGAGCTCTTTGGCTGGGGATGCAAAGTACTGCTCCCTAAACTGCAAATCCCAGAATTCCAGAGGGTGGAGCCTTGGCATTTAAAGTGGGACCGTAGTGCTACCATTGGCTAATATGGAAGGGCCACAGGGCTCTGCAACGGCCAGAAGGAGAACCACTCAGCAGTTCCAGAGTGTTCTAGAGCAGTGGTTCCCAACCTTTGGTCCTCAAGATCGAAGGACTTCAGCTCCCAGAATTCCCAATTGTTGGCCACATTGGCTGAGGCTTCTGGGATCTAAAATTGCAAACAAATGAGGGCAAAAAGTTGAGAACTGGAGAAGTATGTCAAGAGAAGTGTGCGTTCTTGGAATAGATAGTTTTTGCTGACCATGGTTGCCTCTGCAGCCCCACATCCCATTCTTTTGGGAGGTCCTTCAAGTCATTTCCGACTTATGGTGAACCTGTCCTGGGGTTTTCTTGGTGAGATTCCTCCATGAGGCTGAGAGAGTGTGACTTGTCCAAGGCCACCCAGTGGCCAAGCTGGGAATCAAAGCCTGGTCTTGAGAGTCACAGTCCAACATTCAAACCACTATGCCAAACTGTAAAATTGGAAAGAACAGAAGCATAACCGTGGACCTTTCTGGTCTGTCTGGATGTAGCCTCAGAGTGGGGAAGATGGGAGTCCAAGTGGGTCGGGGGGGGCTGATGGTTTTTGCTCCTTAAGGGGTCCTGGGTCTCGAGCCTTGTGTGCCCTGGTTTTGTTATACCGATGCCCCCATCTCTGCCTCACCTTCCTCTCTGTCTTTCCTGCTCTCTCTCTCTCTCTCGAACTCAGGCCCTCTCATCCTCTCCTGGACCAGCGGCTCCCCCACTACTCCTCCTTCGGCTCCGTCGGGGACTGGCTCCGGGCCATCAAAATGGGCCGCTACGAAGAGAATTTCGCCAACGCCGGCTTCAACTCCTTCGAACTGGTCAGCCAGCTGTCCACCGAGTGAGTGAGCCGGACCACAAGAAAATGGGGAAGGCTTCTGCAGTGCAAGAAAGAAAGGAAACAAAGTCCCACATCCTATGTAGAAGGGTCAAACACTGTTATTTCTTTTAAAATAAAAAGGGTTTGACCATCGTATAGCTTGGGGGGGGGGTTGCATCCGCGCTGCAGAAATAATCCAGTTTGACCCCACTTTAACTGCTATGACTCCATGCTATGGACTTCTGGGGATTGTAGTTTTGTGAGACATTGCGTCTCCTCTGTCAGAGAACTTTGGTGCCATAGCAAACTCCAGTTCCCAAAATTCCATAGCATGGAGCCATGGCAGTTAAAGCGGGGTCAAAGTGGATTATTTCTGCAGTGCGGATGTAGGCTAGGTCTCTCCTTTCGTTCTTCCACCGTGAATACCTGCTTTCCAGTTTTTTGCTTTGTTCCTGAAGGATTCTGCAAGCCAAAGGCCTTTTTGGGGAGGCCAGAGGCGTGCATCCACATGACAACATTAGAGCAGTTTTGATCCCACTTTCACTGGCTCAATTGTAAGGAATTCTGGGATTTGTAGTTTGGGGAAGAAATTAGAATTCTCAGCTAAAGAAGTCTGGTGTCTTCCCCTGAACTACAGTTCCCAAGTAATCTCAATTTAATCCTCAATCCCTCTCTCCTCAGGAACTCTCTTGGGAACTATAGTTCAGAAGTGGACAACAGAGTACAAGTAGTCATTCACTAAACCAGGGGTAGGCAACCTTTTTTCCCCTTTAAGGGCCGAGGGACTTCAGCTCCCAGAAGCCTCAGCCATGTTGGCCAATAGTCCCATGTTGGCCAATAGCTCCTGGGATTCTGGGAGCTGAAGTCCCTCGGCCCTTAAAGGGGAAAGGTTGCCTACCCCTGCACTAAACTACAAATCCCAAGATTCCTTAGTATGGAGCCCAATTTAATTTTCTGTCCTTTCTCTCAGGGTAATTTGGGAATTACAGTTGAGGACTGGCGCTCTGTAGCGGGAAATTCCACACGCCTCACAAAACTACAAATCCAAAAATTCCTTAGCCGTGGCACTTAAAGTGATATCGAAAGTGGTATAACTGTGCAGTGCAGACACACTTTAGGGTTTAGGCCAACATGGAAGGGCAAATGAAATAACCGGTGCTTCCTTTTTCTCTTTCCTAGAGATTTGCTCCGAATCGGGGTGACTTTAGCCGGACATCAAAAGAAGATTTTGTCCAGCGTCCAGAGCATGCATGTCCAGAGCAAAGCAGGGCCGGCCGTCGGGGCCAAAGCCGGACATTACTGACTCAAAAGAAGGTGCCGGATCTGGAAGGAATGGAATATTTTGCTTTTTAAGACCTTCCCGAGGCCTCTCTAGTGAAGAGGAATCCTGTCGTAAAAGCGGCCGCCCGCCTGACTGGGAACGTCATCTGCCTCCCATTTTCCCCCTCCTTTCCCTTTTTCCATTTTTCTGTTTTGGAACAAAAGAGTCACTCTCGCCCACGTATATTCTTATTTCCTTTTGTTCCTCCTTTTCTTTTGGAAGGGCTGCCAAGATGCTTAACTCTTTAAACCAGCGGTGAAGATGGCGGATAGTTTTTGTCTGCTCAAGTTATATCAAGTTATCTAGTTGGGGGAATTCGTTGTTGTTGTTTTTAAGCCTGGTTCTGTTTCCCAAGATGGCTGCCTTCTTCCACAATGGCCAAGAAGGTTGCCAGATGCCTTCCGTCGCTTCCGTTCCTGGTCAGGACCCACATTTTGAGTCACTTTGTGGGCAGTTGGCTCTCCCAAGGCCTTGGTGCCCTCACGGCATCACCTCAGAAGTCCCTCAGAAACACAGAAATGCCAAAGATGGCCGCACCGACATCAACTTCCCGTACTGTGATTCTGCCCCAAAATGGCTGCCCTCCTGTTCCTCTTCAGGAAAAAGATGTTCTAAGTTTGGGGATAACCAAGATGCCTGCCTTGGGGAGCTGCCATGTTGAAACATGAGCAGGAAATCAAGTTCTTCCAATGGAACGGTTTGACGGCAGCCATTTTGTAAGCGCTCGGTTTCCAAAATGGAGATTGTGAACTCGTTTGTACCGACGACGACGACGCCATGCTTTGCCTCACCGTAATGGGGGCTCTTTTGAGAAACGTGTGTGAGGAAATCACCAGAGGCCTTATAGAAACTCATTGTCCATCTTTTTTGGGCTGAATTTTGGGAAAAAGGAGTGTTATTTGATACAAAAGCCTCTATTATGGGGTTTCTGTACACTTGGGGGGCCGAGCCCCTCTCATTCCGTGGCCCAAAAGCCAAAGAATGATGACTAGCCATTGGCACTTGGTAATATTGCCCGCGTAAGAGCGGAACTTGCGCATGACATCATATTCTGCGCAAAGATGGACGAAACCTAGCCGCTGTATGATGTCATTGGGAGCAAGGGTGTGACGGCGAAACCTCCAGCCAATTAGAAGGAAGCTAGAAACTTCTATGGAAACGCCATGGAGATGAGAGGGACTGTTGTGATGCTGTAACTGTGTGACAATCAGAAAAACGGCGCACTTTCTGATGATGTCATAGCAATGATGTCACAAAGAGAGAAGTGAAGCTGTGGATTTTGGAATGTGTCACGTTGCCTTGTTAAGACCAAGAGTCACTTGGACTAATATACCAGGCACTGGCTTATGATGTCATCATGGTGTGACTGCAAAAACCCAGCAGTGACGTCGGCTGTGATGTCATCTCTGCGCAACTTGCGCAATGAGAAGCTAAAACGGATGAAGGGAGATGAGTTTCACTTTTACTGACATTGAAACCATGTGCCTCCATGTAAAACATGGGCGCTGATCGATGATGTCATAGGGAAAGACCTGTGATGTCATAAGCGCCGTTGCTTTTGTATTATTCGTTAACCTTCATATTGAAGGCAGTGATGTTACTTTTTATTAAAAAAAATTAATGTATCTTATAAACCAAAATGAAGGGAATGTTGCTAAGAGTTTTGGGGTAGGTTTGTTTCTGGTGGAAGGAAGATCCTGGTGCTAAAATTATGATATATTCTTTCTTTCATTCATCTCTCTTTTCATCCATCCATCCATCCTCTCTTTCTTTCTTTCTTTCTTTCTTTTATGAAACAGAAAGTTCAAGATGCCAAATTATGGCACTAAATTGCTGGTTCCACATTAGGTGAGGTTGCAATTCTTGGTTCTACAATTCTGGAATTATAAACCTGCCCCGCCCAAAAAAAACACACACAATAGAAATTAAAAATTTGTGATAATTGAATCCAAAATCCAGATAAATTCTATCTAGGGTGAGGGATAGTTGTGAGGGAAAATTGTCTGGTTGACATTTTAATGTGAACTCAGCCAAAGTTGTGCTTCTTAGAAACAAAAAATAAAAACCAAAATTGTCTTCTCCATTTAAACAAAAGGCATGGACAAGAATCCATCCGTTGGAAGGGATCCCAAAGGGTCATCTATTCCAACCCCTGGCTGTGTACAAAAATGCACTGTATGATGGGGGAAAAACTTGTGAAAAATATATAAATTAAGGGAAATATGTACAGATTTGCAAGTGGACTTCGTCCAAAAATGCTCCCTCACATTCATGCAGAAATGGGACCAAATCAAAGAGTTAAGTTTGGGGAAAATGAGAAACCAAACCCAGAATTGAGTGGTCTGTCCCTAGGAGTAGAGCTGTTTCTTTCTTTCATTCTTCTCTGCCATAGCGGCCATCCTGACTGGGGATGATGGGGGTTGTAATCCGAGCATCCGTGGCGAATGCAGCCATGATTAGAGGAAAGTCACCTTTGGGGCTTCTGTTTTTGGAGAATGCGTTCTCCTTTCTGAGATGTGGATGCTGGGAGGTGGTATCATCTCCGAATCCCTCCCTCCCATCCCACCTTGAGTCTGGGGGCTTCACTGTCTCCCCTTCAGCTCTGGATGGGTTTTTGGGGTAGGCCTTCACCACCATCACCCCAAATCCTGCCATTTTGCTGTTTCTTCTTTTGTTTCCCGCAGAGGATTGTGTGAAGGTGGCATTGCAGAATTGGGGAGAGGGAACTCACAAGAAACTTTCAGTTTTTGGAAAAATAGCTAATTTAAAACACATTTAAAAAAAAAAAAACAACCATGATTTTTGGTTGTTTAATAAAAATTTTGGCTCTCTCTCTTTTATTAAAAGGTATTGCACAAGATGGAGTTCCTTACCTATGATACTAGATACTTACCTAGTAGACCATTGAGCTAAACATGAGCTGACAGTGTGATGCCGCAGCTAAAAAGGCCAATGTGATTCTAGGCTGCATCAATAGAAGGATAGTATCTAGATCCAGGGAAGTAATACTGCCACTCTCTTCTGCTTTGGTCAGGACTCACCTGGAATAATCCTGTGTCCAGTTCTGGACAAAACAATTCAAAAAGGAGGTTGAAAAACGAGTGTGTCCAGAAGAGGGTGACCAAAATGGTGAAGGTTTTGGAAACCATGCCTTATGAGGAAACACTTAGGGAACTGGGTATGTTTAACCTGGAGAAGAGAACATTAAGAAGGGATACCATAGCCCTGTTTAAGTATTTGGAGGGTGTCATATTGAGGATGGAGCATGCCTGTTTTCTGTTGCTCCAGAGAATGGGACACAGAGTCTCAATGGATTCAAACTACAGGAAAGGAGATTCCACCTTAATATTAGGAGGAACTTCCTGACAGTAAGAGCTGTTTGAAAGTGGAAGACAGTCCCTCACAGATTGCGGGAGTCTCCTTCCTTGGAGGTCTTTAAACAGAGGCTGGATGGCCATCCGTCGGGGATGCTTTGATTGAGAGTTCCTGCATGGCCAAAGGGGGTTGGACTAGATGGCCCTTGTGGTCTCTTCCAACTCTGTAATTCTATGACCCACTGTAATAATAATAATAATAATAATAATAATAATGCCCCATTGTATATCATGGGACAAGCAGCCATGGATTTTCGTATCAGTGGAGGGTCCGAGAACCAAACCTCAGCAGATACCAATGGCCTGTTGCAATTAATAATGATGATGATGATGATGATGATGTCCCATTACATATAATAGGACTTGAGCATCCACAGATTTTGGGATCCATGGGGGTTCTGGAACCAAACCCCAGCAGATACCAAGGGCCCACTAGAAATTAATAAATAATAATAATAATAATAATAATAATAATAATAATAATAATAATAATAATAATAATAAATGCCCCATTGCATATAATGGAACTTGGGCATCTGTAGATTTTGGTATCCATAAGGGGTCCTGGAACCAAACCCCAGTTGATACCAAGGGCCCATTGCAGTGAATAATAATAATAATACCCCATTGCATATAATAGGACTTGAGCATCCACAGATTTTGGGGTTCTGGAACCAAACCCCAGTAGATACCAAGGGCCCACTGTAATAATAATAATAATAATAATAATAATAATAATAAATGTCCCATTGGACATGAGCATCCATGGATGTTGGGATCCACAGAGGGTCCTGGAACCCAACCCCAGTAGATGGATGCCAAGGGCCCACTCTCTTTGAATTGCAGTGTACAGAGAAACCTGTTTTTTAAATTTCTCCTAATTCCTTTCCTGGGTTAAAAGGCCCCTTCTTGACAAGAGGAGCCTCTGTGCAAGAATGAGGCCGATGGCTATCTGTCCCAGGAGATGCTTTGATTGTGAGTTCCTGCATGGCAGGATGGGGTTGGACTGGATGGCCCTTGGGGGTCTCCATGATTCCATGATTCTTTCTCCTCTTTCTTGACCTTCTGGAAGGCAAGTCTGGGCAGTTCCTTCCTTCTTTCCTTCCTTCCTTGCAAGAGGCAAAGCTGGTTTAACCGGCCTGCAAAGCACAACTCACAGCCTGCATTTCAGGAAATCCTGGGGAGACGCAGTAGTGTTGCATAGCCCATAACTGGGGCCTTTGCAATAGAGCCACTGAACTACAGATCCCAGAGAAGGGGCCCTTAAAGTGGGAACAGAGTGCTTTAATTCTCCATTCTCAAGTGTCCCCAGAAACGATCACCTGACAAGCAAAGTTACTGGATGATAGGCAGAGCTTGGTGACTCTTTGGACTACAACTCCCAGGTAAACAAGAACTCCCAAAGGGCCACTCGACCCCTTTCAATATGAGTAAAATGGCCCTAGAGCCAGTGTGGCATAGTGGCTTGAGCATTGGACTATGAATCTGGAACAAGGGTTCAAAAACCAGCTTTGACTGTTGGCAGGTCACACTCTCTCAGCCTCAGAGGAAGGCAAAGACAAACCCGCTCTGAAGAAATCTTGCCAAGAAAACCTTGTGGCAGGGTTGACATAAGTTTGCAAATGACTCGATTTCTTGGCACACAAAAAGAAGAAAGAACTACGTATGCACAAGGCCGTACCTTCCTGGCATGCTGGCTGGGGATACTGGGAGTTGCAATCCAAAGAAAATACACAAAGCTTTGCCTCGGGATTGCAACACTGTGAACTGGGAACCCAGTTAGTTGCATTGGGCCAAGGGATGGGGCCCAGCCCCACTGGTGCCCATAAATCATCACAAATCCCATTAACCCCAATCCTCTCTCGCCATTGTTTCTGGACAAAGGCTCTGACCTTCTTCCATTTCCTTTCCTTGCAAAGGATTGAGTTTAATGGGATTTTTCCTCCCTTCTTTGCCAAAAGGCCTCTCCTATGCTTTGGGTGGAGTGCAGCCCTATTATTATGGCTCCCTTTTCCTTTGTTCTCTTTCCACTCTCTGTCCCAAAAACTCAGCAAGAAAGCTGCTGCCAAATCCAGGAAATTGGACTCCAGGAAATCAAGAATAAATATTACATACATATATATATATATATATATATATATATATATTCTCTGCAAAGTTTTGCTGCATTGGATTGAAAAGCATTGGGGGAAAAATAAACCCAGTTCATTTCCAGCTGTGGATGAGACGAAGGGTGTATCCGCACCACACACTTATAGCGGTTTGATCCCACTTTAGCTTCCACCCTACAGGAACCTGGGATTTGTAGTTTCAAGCAATAGTTGGGATGCTCTGCCGGGGAGCTCTCAAGCACAATGATCGCAGGCAGCTTTATAGCAGATACCTTTTTAATGCCCGTGATAATTGCATCCTGTGGAATTTTGGGATTTGTAGTTTGGTGACAGCTTTGGAATCACCTGAAGATGTCTAGTTCATCCACCAAACCACAACTCCCAAGGTATCCTGAGTGCCTTCTTATGCAACAGAATTAAATTGATTTAATCATTCTCGTTCCCAGGTGCTTTCGTTCCTTCTCAATAACTCATAGAACTACAGCTCCCAGGATTCCTTCCATAGGACAGGGCCACACCAATTAAAGCGGTATCAATTGGCTATAATTCTGCAGTGTGAATGCACCTGAATTTTAAGACATTTTATTTCAAGTGATGGTAATATATATATATATATATATATATATATATATATATATATATATCCAGTGATGTGGGTTATTTATGGGTGTAAAAGAAAGCACTCTGTACATGCACAGAGATGTCTCATTTGCTCTTCATCCTTTGCTTTCTACTTTTTGAGGCCCAAAATTAAAACTAGAATATCTATTTTAATTTCTGCATAGAAGTTGGACCTTTATTTTACCAAGTGAAAATGCTTGTTCTGCAGCAAAGGAGGAACACACTCAAGATGTTTTTGGACTACGACTCCCAGCATTCCTCGCTGCTGGCTATGCTGGCCAGGCTGCTGGGACTTGCGATCAAATATTTGAAGGGCCTCATGAGTCCCACACTTGACTCTGCAAGCTGGGAGGGGGGTATAATGTCCTCTCAAAGTGTTGTATTGCAACTCCCATCATCCCCCAACCACCTATGGTCATCATTCTATGACCATAGCTCATGGTGAGGGATGCTGGGCACTGAAGTCCAACAACATCTGCAGGGTCCCATGATCCTTTCCACCTATGTTCTGAGCAGATAGCCTATAAGTCACAGCTGGGACTCCTGCAGCCTTCCAGAGGTTCCTGGACTGCAAGTCCCAACATTCCTCACTGCTGGCTATGCTGGCCAAGCTGCTGGGACTTGCAATCCAATACTTGGAGGCCTCATGAGTACCATACTTAACTCATGTCCCCTGCAGGTGTTGTTGTACTGTGACTCCCAGAATTCCCCATCACCAGCTGCACTGTCCAGGGCTGCTGCTGGGACTTGCAGTCCAATAACATCTTCCCACCTCTGCCCTGGGCAGATAGTCTGTAAGTCACAGTTGGGGCTCCAGCAGCCCTCCAGATGGTGTTGGACTGCAAGTCCCAGCAGCCTTGGACAGTACAGCCAGTGATGGGGAATGCTGGGAGTTGCAGTGCAACATCTGCAGGGGTGAAGGGCAAGAAAAGCAGTGGCTGCAAGCAACAACCTTCCAGCTGTCACTCAAAGTCTCACAAGGGAGTAAGAGCGACACCGTGCGGTGGATGGAGGTATTTCACCCCTGGAAAAATACTGTACTGTAATCTCAATTCTGCAGCAAAGAAGGAAGAGCTGCTTCATCACACTCTCTGGCCACCTTCCTGCCTTCCTTTCCTTCTCAGCCCCAACATCTGTTTTCCAGGAGGGCTGACACCTTTGGCTGGGGAAGGACTCAAGCAGCGCCTCTGAGCATGGGCAGAGTGCAAACCCATTGCCTTGCAATAAGAGCGGCTGAGCCTGGAGAGAGAAAACTATACAGTATGTTTTTGGCATATTCTCAAGGCTTCTGGGGGATTTGATTCAGGGGCAAAGAAAAGGCACTCTGAACATGCACAAAGATGTCCATTCATATTAATTCATATATCTATA